TTCCAAATAGTACTGTGTTAAATTCTGTGTTAAAACCCTTTTCCTTATGTTGGTAGTCCAGAACCTCTGTTGCCCATCTTTGATTTCATCTGGAACATTACTTGACTTTGTTCGTCATCATCCTTGATCTCTCGGATCTCTGCTTTTCCAAATGCTATCCCTTTGTTGGGAACTTTTCCTTGGTGGAACTTTTTCCTCTTTCTATAGTGATATAGGTGCCACTGATCTGTGCTATGTCTCGAACTATGGTCACAATGTTAGCACTCAGCTGGGTCATTGTCATGCTTGTGGCATTGCCTTGAACCGCACTTTGAACATAATATGGTCAATAATGTTGTGTCCTGCGCTCTTGACATTTTGGCAGGTTTTCAAGGGTTAACAGCATCATCCTGGGTCATACACATCTGACCAAATTGGAAGGAACCTTGGAGTTGGTTCTAGTGACCACTCAAATGTAAACTTCACCTCAGTTTGGAAGTCAGTTGCTACACTTGAGCCTCTCTTTTGGCTGAAGAAAACTGGGCAATTTTTCATCCTGGACTCCCACAACAATGCAATCTATTATTTGCTCTTCTTTTAAGCCCTGTTTTTCAACAACACCTGGTTGGTCTGTTAAAAAAGTTTCAATCAGTTTGCCTTGTCACTGCTGGGGTACTATTGCTCAGTTGGCTGGATGGCTGCTTTGCGAGATGCTAGCAGTGTGGGTTCAATTCCTGCACTGGCTGAGGTTACCATGAAGGACTGTCTTTCTCACCATCTTCCCTTGCCTCACCTGTGATGACCCTCAGGTTAAACCAGCACCAACCATCTCTCTCTAATGAAAGAGAAGCCCTGCAATCTGAAAAGACTATGGTGAGTTTACCCTTACATATTGCTGTTGGTTCAATCTTGTTGAATAAGTACTTTGACATCTTTCCCCACTTTGTTTACCTGAAGCTGTCCAATTAACTCTATTTATAGAGTCATAGAGTTATACAGCACAGAAACAGACCCTTCAGACCATTTAGATATCCTAAATTAATTGAGTCCCATTTGGCCCACATTCCCCTAAACCCCTCCTATTCATGTAACCATCCAGCGGCTCCAGGGAAAATAGCCCCAGCCTGTTTAATCTCTCCCGTTAGCTCAAACCCACCTTGTATTTTGTCTACAACTTGGTTCATACATTACCTGGCCTCCATCCTGGCACCTTTGCATCAACTCTTAAAAAAGGGTCAGCCTTGGAAATGTTCACAAAGCAAAGCCATGTCTTTCAGGGAAGTGAAGAAACAGCAATCATCCTCGAAGACACATTTTGATCTATAGCAACAGGTGAGCTACAATGCATTACATGCCGCTGATATCAGAGGCAGAGTTGGAGGAACCTGACCCAGTACTAAAATGTCCCAGGAGGAGTTACAAAAAGAAAGAACCAGCCTATGTTCTCAGACTCCGAGGGGGAGGGATGTTGTGATTGTAATGAGGTCAGCCAGGTGGACCTCATAGAATGAGTTCTCTGATTGGGGCTGTTAATCAGGTCCAATCAGGGAGCCCTGACAGATATAAACAGGAGTGTCAGAGGATCTGTTCAGTAAGAGCTGGCTCTGAAGAAGCTGGATCAGTGTCAAGGACTCTCCACGTGTAAATAAAGGGTGACTTGGTGACAGGATACTGGCCTCTGTGCATATAGAGTGAAGATGCTTAGGGGTCAGATACTGTTCAAAGATAGTTTGTAACATGTCATCAGTGCAAGCAAATTGAACTTGAGCATCACAAGGATGTTGAAGTTAGCAGCAACGATGGTAAAACAAGCCAACGCTTGCTGAAGGGGAATCATTATTCATGCCATTTCCAAAGGTCCTGTGTGAGCCACACAACATCACTTCATCATCTATAATGTAAATGTAACCAAGATGTGTATTGAATGCAGTGAGAAATCAAACACTTGATTTGATTCTGGGGTAGATAGCCAGTTGAAATATTGTAGGCATCCCTTCTTGATGAAATTGGGTAATTACTCAACCAGTGCACCACATTTGCCAAGTTGTTGCACATGCTGAGCCAAAATTTGGATGGTAGGTGAAGATGTGTTCCTCACCATCAGGATACAGCATGTCACACTGTATGGAGAAACATGCTTGGCCCTCATCTGCAGAGTATGCCACCAATGACTGTTCTAAGAACTTCTTTCACTCCTCTGGTTCCATTTTAGGTCATTTTCCCCCAAAGGTCCTTGGCCCCGCTACTGGTGGGATGTTGGTCACTGTGGCCACTGAAGAAGTGAAGATGGATACAGGAGTACTAGGGCTTACAGTAAGCCTAGGAGCACAAGGATGACCAGGTCCCAGCTCAGGGAGAGGTCCCTGCCACAGGACCCCTCAGCATGCATAATATGCACAGGAGGTGCAGTGTTTTCCAACCCTAACTCCATTTCCTAGGGATGAGCAAGGCACAGTGCTGACACAGGCTCCATTTATCCTGGGACACTGTGATAGAAGTGTGACAGATGCTACAGTGGCACCTAAGGGCTCCAGGAGTGGGAGGCCATCCTCTCCAAGTAGCTGTGAAGGTGAGAGCTTTGAACTACTATGCAAATGACTCCTTCCATGGAGCAACATATGGTATCTCTGAGCAGTGCAGGCTCAAGTGCATCATGATAGTGCTTCATTGATCCCAGATGATGAACGAACCGAGATGTTGATCTCTGTAGCTTCTGATGGTAATATTCTGCTCTCTAACCAAAGGGTTAGGGAAGTCATTACTCCTGTCTTCCTCCATTTTCTCTAGTTCATCTTCCATCTGAAGATCCCTTCCTGACAAAGACCATACCTGTTCAGGACTATCATTTGATGGGAACTGCTGCCTGTCTTCAAGCGCCCATTAATATACTTTATTTCTAGGAGTTGGTAGTTTACCCTACATTGATCACTTGTTTACTCCTTTCTCACAAATGAATGCAGGACAACTACCCAAGATGTACTCTATCCATCTCTTTATTCTGAGGTCACTTTTAGATTTTTTTTAGCTGAGGACTATTTTTTTGACCTTGCAAATAAAAGGAAGTAAGATACTGTCTTACTGACTTAGGAATGTCATCAAAATACCTTAACTTTTATAGAACTGTTTGTGTGTCTTTCCAGAGAAGAAACAAAATT